CTCTCTCTCTCTCTCTCTCTCTCTCAAGCAAGAGAGAGAGGTTGGTGTGTGTGTGTGTGTGTGTGTGTGTGTGTGTGTGAGAGAGAGAGAGAGAGAGAGAGAGAGAGAGAGAGAGAGAGGTAAGGGTGAGAAATGTTTGTAAATTCAGAAGAAAAATCTCATCTTTCTCAGCCACAAGAACTAAACATTGGAGAAAAAATGTCCATCCTCTGGCCAGAGGGTTAAATTCGTTAACCTTTCATCAGTGATTAAATATGTAAACAGTTTCCAGGCAAGCCCTTGGCAAATCATTAATGAGAGAAAGCCTTTCTCTCTTGGCATGCCCTGCCCATTGATCAGTCGCCACACCCATTCCCAGCCCTGTACCGTGGCCACAGAACACAGCTCTCTACCTAGCTAAAGTCCCTGATCCCCAGGCACCTGCTACACTTTGATAACAATAATAAAATGTGCATAGATCATTACAGTTTGCCAAGCCATGAATTCATTTAACAAACTGCTCAGTTCCCTCAGAATAGACTTGGCTAGGCTTCAACGAGCCTCACTAGTCTCAGTCACGTGACACAACACACATTTATCTCTTGTTTGCACAAAGCCCATGGGCTTGTCTGAGTGACTCTCCTAGGGCAGTGGCTTCCAAGGGTGGCTCAGTATGCCAACTATTTGGACTTGAATTACCTCTGTTTCATCATCCACAATTAATGAGGCAGGGAAGAAAGCTAAGAAGGTCTCACGTTGGTAAGCAAGTGTTTTGGTCAAAAGGCACACAGAGTCTTTCTGTTCCCAGGCTCTTGGCCAGAGCTCGTCTCGTGGCATTGTATAGGTGGCGAAATATAATCCTCCCTGCTCAGAGAGGAGAGGGAACAGATTTGGACAAGGGCTAGAATCTTCCACCACGGGGAGTGATTCTAGGTGAGCCAAGATGCTCACTGACTTAGGGAGGAAAGTGGGGAAGAAGACAGCCTCAGAAGAGGCAGAGATCAAAGGCTGAGAGAGATGGGGGGCCAGAAAGGGGATCTTTTTAGTTGATAGAGAGATCTAGACAAAGGATGAGAAGGCTGAGGAACTAGAGGGAGGACAGCTGATTGAGCGCGTCCCGGGGGGAGGAGCTTATCTCCAGAGGACACAGTCACATCCCACAGATAGCTAACCGAGGCCCCTTCCAGCTGTCAATCATGCTTTATTTGTTTAGCAGCTGTGTGCAAGGACCTCACGTGACACATTCTTTGACGATGCTGGGAGCAAAGCCCCAAGTGCTCTGAGTTCAGTTGAGAAATCAGAGAAGGTGGTAGGGCTGATTCCAAGGGTCAAAGGCGTAGGCAGCGGGGACAACAAAGTTCTGAACAAAGGTAGGAAGGCCAGCAAACTTGGGCACATTCTGAGAACTCACTGGTCAGGGGCACCTGAGAAACAGAGAGGCCAGGAGAGAGATGGGATCTAGGCTTAGCAGCTCCACAGAGCGACCCTTCAGGGCTGGCTTAAACCAAGCTGTGAAAACTGGAGCCAGCCCCATTCTCTGCCCACTCAAAGCCTGAGGAATGACCTCAGAGGCCAGTCAACCAGCACCAGGAGGACATTCCTAGCTCAGAATGGCGCCAAGCTCACGATACAGCCCCCAGGACCTGGGAGGGGACTGTTATACTCCAGAGAGCAGAAAAGTCACCATCTTTAGCAGTCCCAGGTTACTCCCAGGGGAGTCTCCATCCTTTGCTGCCGCCAGAGCTGAGTTCCCCCAGCCCCGCCCAACTCCCCTCCTCCCGACACCCTCCACCCTCTTCTCCACGCCTTTCCTCCCATCTTCTCGCTCTCCAGGTGGGAGCTGCAGCCCGAGGGGTGTAATTAAAAGCCAAAGAGATAGACTCCGTGTATAGTGGGGCAGCTAATTTTAACAGGTCCTCTGTTCAGGTTCCTTATGTACCCCTAAACCCCTTCTCTTTGCACTATGGGTCTCTCAGTGCATCACCTAAAATGTCCACAGGCCCCAAACCTCCGAGTGACCTCAGAGGATTCAGACAGGGACAAGCATTAGACTGCGTGTTCTTACCCCTCACAAAGACCAGGTTACAGGGGACCGGCTCTCGAAATGACAAGAGCACTCTCCCCTGGACTTGTCCTGGAAAGAGGCAATTGGAATTCCAGAAAAGCTCCAGAAGTCGGGAGTGGGTTAAAAGATCAGAGGCCGCCAGGCGCTCCGTGCGGTCTGCGCGAATCGCGAAGCGCAATTAGCACACTGTTAAATGAAGGAAGCAAGTCTGGCTTCAGGGCAGAGGGCAGTATCTCCACCTTGTTCTTGCAGCGTGAGCAGCGCTCCCGGTCCCTGCAGTCTCAGTAAGCCACCAGGGGGCACCGCTCAACTGGACCGTGATGAGGTAGCGCCACCCTGGGGTCACCGCAGCTAGCCTGCAGAGAGGGCGTTCCTGCGCTAGGGAGCTCGCTGCAAAGGGCACCCCTCAAACTCGCAGCCACACTGACACTCCAGACTCCCCACCCAAGCACCCGAGGCCCTGTGAGCGTGTATGATTTCCCCAGGCCCTACGACAATATGGGCAGAGTGGTCTCTATGCTGCATCATGGGACCACTCTCCCCCAGGTGCTATCAGTCTTCCCAGGATTTCACAGGCTGCAGTATTCAGAGACTGCAGGACGCTCAGTGGGCTTCCACCTCCACCTTCTAGGTTTCCAGTATTTAGCACCTCTTGGGCCTCAGGAACCGGCCTCTGAAAGAAAGCTGTCCTAATTAAAGGCACTGCCCACCTCCAGAATAGGTCCCTGCGCCTCCTGTCACCTTCTAGGGCATTCTGGAAAGGACTGAGCTCCGGGGCCAGGGTCAGGGTGAACAAAACTAAGGAAGCCCCTTGCTCCTTGGAAGCAAAGGCAGACATAGCCAGGAAAGCACACCCACTGGGCCCCTGCGATTGGCTGATCAATTTCAGGTGCTGCGGTGCTTGAAGGAGACCAGACAGACACCTGCATCCTGATGCAAGGAAAACTGGATTCGCCACCTTTGGCCTCACATCTGCCGTCCTCGACTTCTGCATCTCAACTAATGACATTCCAATCTTAAGGAATCAGGCCAAAACTTACAAACAACGTGAAGACATTTAAGTGCCTTTCCTGAAAACCACAATTAAAATCATTTCAAGTTCGCTAATTGTTCTGTGCGTTTTTATAAATGTATATGAGAACACGTATATGTAGAACAGTGTGATTCTTAAAAACCATGCTAATATTCCTTTGTGTACAGTCTGTGCCCACTTTCCTACCCTGTCTCCCTCATTAAAGAATTTTCTCTCACCATGGGTTAACCTAACTTATCCCAAAACGTCATATAAATGGTTTTATGCAATCCATTCTAAAGCTTTTGAGGTTTATTGCTTGTAGTTGTGGTTATTCATTCTTTTTTATTGTTATTTGGCACTCTGTTGGTTAAATATGCCATGATTTCTGTTTCTATTCATTGGGCCGTTTAGATGCCTAGCCATTTTTTATTATCATGAATAAAATTACTATGAAGATCTGTGTGTGAGGTTTTTGTGGACCTATGTTTTCATTTCTGTTGGGGGAGATATCCATAAGTAAACACTGAGAGATCATAGGCTAAGCATCTTTTTAGCGTTATAAGAAATTAACTCTTTCCAAAGTTGAATAATTTAACTCTTCAGTAGCAACGTCTTGAAAAACTTTGGTGTTTCAAAAAAAACAAACCCAGCTTTATTG